CACCCCGCAGCCGGGAATGAGCGGATGGCCGGGATGGAAGCGACTGGGGTGAACCAGCCGGGTGAAGTCCCAGGGCCGCAGAGCTGCGCCGGGGATCTGTCCTGGAAGAGCCTTCTCTTCTCCCTGGACACTTTAAGCGGCGGCGGCGGCCGGCGGCGAAAGGTGGCAGACCGGACAGCGAGCCTCCCCCTTCCCGATGTGGCTCTGGCCGCCGGAGAACACAAGTGAGCAAGAAGTGCCAGGCCGGGCCATCCCCTTCAGGTAGATGACGCCCTGGGTTTCCTCGCTATCCCCGTGGGGAGAGCCGGAGTGCGTGTGTGTGTGTGAGTGCGTGTGCATGTGTGTGCTCGTGTGTGCGTGTGCACAGGCTCTCGGTCTAGATGGCCCAGGCTACTCTGGCTGCATTCAGGGACTGAAACTCCCGCAGAAAGGCAAAGGAGAGAGCGAGGGAGCGCGAGGAGGCAGGGGAGGCGGGAGGGAGGGGAGCGGCGGAGAGGCTGAGGCAGGCACTGGGAGATTAGAGAGCTTTTCTCCTCTGTCACACTAGACACCCACAGCCACAGAGGGGGTTGCTGAGCCGCCTGCAAGAAGTACATTGTAAATCTTCAGCGCAACAAGCCCCGCAGTCACCCCTCTTCCAGACTCAGCCTCACCGCGTCTCCCCGGAGGAATCCTTGCAGCCTTAGGCTATTAACACCGAGAGCAAAGGCAGATCCTGCTGGGGAGACTTGGCGGTGTCAGATTTCACATCCAGCTCGCCGGAGGATTTGGAGGATTGTATGTAAAGTAGAATAAATTCTCCAACGCCTAACTGCGCATATTATGCAGTGTGATGTGTCCAGGTGTGCAGTATTAAAAGAAGGATTAGCAATGAACTATTAGAATCCTCCGGAAGTAACGGCTAGAGAAAAGACACCCCCCCCCCCCATCGAATAATTTCTATTTTTAGATTGGGGGAATGACACTACAATGCCTTCAGTGTAACATTCAGGACTAAAAACTTGAGACTGAGCAACACTGGGAAGAGGAGCCCCATTTAGACTTACTGGAATAGTGAACACATATATTCCATGATTGGTCAGTTTTTCACTTCAACTAGCCACAATTACTTTTTTTGCTGTTTTTAGTGTTGTCATGAAAATTGTTTAAACTCTTTCCAAATAGTTATCAGTAGAAAGTGTTCATTGGCAACAGGAGCATCAAAACAGGTCTCTGGACCATTGGCTGGATATGGACCCTTGTCTAGGTGTAGAGAAGTTTTAAATTATATGTAGAGAGTTCATGAGCATATGGGCTATCCAATCCTTAGAATTTGTGTGAAAAGCCTTAATTGGAACAATATTCAGAAAAGAGCCATTCCAATGGTAACAACTAAGAGGCAGGAGTCTCTGTATTTTTATAAACAAAGTGTGATAGGCTTCAGAGTAAAAAAAAAAAGAAAAGAAAAAGAAAGAAAGTAAAGCACAGAATAAAAAGAGAAAGAAGTAATTATTTTTATATTTCTTCACATCTTCAAATCCTGAAGGGATTTTAAAAATTACATCTTTATGTATGTATGCATGTATGTATGTATGTATTTATGTATTTTTACAAAAAGGAATGTCTAATGTCACTTGCTTTGGAGTCCTGAAAATATACAATTAAAATATTGTGTTTGTCTTTAAAGCATGACCAGAGAGAAGAGACCAAATACACATCATCTTTAGCAGGACAGCCACTGAAAACCTAGCCCTGATCCATAAAACTCATTTCCATTTATCCCCAGATGGGATACAGCCCCACTGCCATTCATTCTAAATGTCCACTTGAAGCATTTTTAAATGATGATGAAAAAAAGTGCCAGGGTGGGGTTTTTTTTTTTAAAGCATGTATGTGGGCCGTTAGCAACAGACCAAGGGAAATGCCACATTCTGTTCAAGTTACTTTTTTCTGTTCTGTTTTTAAATCTCTGTGCTCTTGTTGTCCATATGTATCTGGTTGTATGCATTTTAAGAGTTGAGGAGCTGGGGTTCACTAGTTTGTTGTTGCTGCTTTTCTTCACAGAATCAGGAAATACAGTACAGGCAGGCATAAAGAGCTGTGTGACTCTTAGCAGGTTACCAGACTTCCCTGAGCTCAGGGTATGAGTCTGGCAGTTCAGGATTATTGATCTAAAGTCTATGGATTCAGTTTATTTGGATTATTAGAGGAATCTGGGATCACCCCCAGAAGTCTGAGAACCACAGTTTAAATGAAGAACTTACCCACTAAGCAATATTTAAGACCTTTCTCTAAAATGCTTTTAATCAAGAAAAGATTCAAAGGCCTTTTCTGGTCTTCCTTGTTTTTATCAATGAGCTTATGTGTTTTTGAAATTACTAAAATGCAGTTCTCAAATGTTCCTGAATTAAAGACTATATTTCCCAATTAGTAAAGCCTCTACTGGTTGTGATTACATTATTGGATGGGTTACCTTTGAAACCCAAGTAGAATGGACACAAGCTTATTAACACAAAGTGGACACAACTTATTAAAACATAGATACCCCTAAAGTGCATCTTTATCCAGTGAACTCAGTATCAAAGCCAAGTGCATAAATATTTTTTTCTCTCAATTTGATGTTACAAAAGGATCTCAGTGAGTTTTCTTTTTCTTTCTTTCTTTTTTTTTTTCTTTCTGAAAGTATATAGCACCCTTCCCTTGAGAAGCAAGCACTTTGGTAAAATATTTTCTAGAGAATGCCCATTTTACACTCTAAAAAAACAACAACAACAAAATTTCAGATTGTGTACCTAACAAAAATATTAAAGCAATGATTCACTACTGCTCCTATGAAGAAGTTGCCGTCAGTGTTGTGGCTCACTAAATTTGAGATAGTTTGACTTTGCCAGCACTAGAGCCATGTAGTGGAATAAGACTTTCCGAAGAGCCTGATGCTTCTCTCAGAAACACATTTATTGTTGGGAGAATTTTATGATTATTTTCTTAAGCTAATCAATGTCTTCAAAGCCATTTCATAGTCATATTTGATTTAGGGGATTGTAAAAGTTAAAACAGTTTGAGTGCTTAATATACATGATGCCAAACGGAAGTGATTTAAATTAAATCTACACTTTGGCCCTGTAAATAATCAAAAGGAACTAGCTTCCTTCAGTGAATGAGCTGGCTTCAGAGTCTTTACTCTTTGATTACTCACACTTGGACTGTTTTTTTTTTCCTTTTCACACTGGTTTGTGTGAGGCACACTTAAGTGCCCTTGTATACTCAGCCCCTTCAAGTGCAATTAGTGCTCTGTATCAGAGGCATGTTGGCTCAGGAGAAAGAACTAAGTCCCATCTGCCCTCACTCCCCTACATTATCCTAACTAGTTACTTAGATTCCGTTTCTTGGTCTGTTGATGTAGAAACTGTATGATAGGAGTTAGATGAGGTATCCTCAGAAAACTCTTCCAGTCCTCAAACTTTTTGAAAGAAATTCCAAGGCTTATACACTCGTCTCATTATGCTCTCAAGGGACTTGTAATTAATCTTCTTCATTGAGAAGCAAACAAAGTAATTAAAAACTAAGTTTTATGTGTGAAGAGAATTTATAAAAATATGCTGTACTGGAAAAAGCACATGGGGGGAACCAACCCCTGCGACTGTGGCGGTGAGGATAGGACTGATATCTTTTAGGAGAGGATATATTCCTGAAGACCTCACACCATTGGAGACCAATGCTGATGAGAGTGGCTGAATGAATGGCGGAGTCTCTGTTTACCAGCGAAGGTGGTGCCGCCATGTGGCAATAATAAAACAGCAGTTTGAAATCTAAGATTGTGATCATTTGATGTAATTTTATTTGAACTACCTTCAGTGAATGAGCTGGCTTCGGAGTCTTTCCTCTTTGGTTGCTCACACTTGCACTGCTTTTTTTCTTTGAGGCAACTCATATTATTGCAGACTTATGTTTGTATATTGCATAATTTCAAAATATCATACCATTCAAGCACAAAATCTGTCAACATTGTTGATGAGCTTTAGATGAGAAGTACCCTTCTAGACAGAACATTCCTCAAGACCTTAACGATGGAAAGAGGAAAGAGGAGAACTGTTTAAAATTAGCCATCATTAAGACAGTGCAACTTCATGATGTCTGTGGTTTGCCAACTACAATTAACACCTTGATTTAACTATTGTCTGAGTTTTTTGTATTTAAAAAGATGAATCTGATTGGAATTATATCTAAATTTGATCATAATTTTTCTCACATAAAAATAGGTGAACAGTAAAAGGAAAACACTTTCTAACATATTAAAAACTACATATTACTAATCCTAGGAAAGTCTCCTCATTAATCTTACACCAAAACAGAACCAGTCTAAGAGCGTAAAAGGAGTATTTTATGGCGCATATAAGGAGAAGGATAACCAAATATCCACAGTGTCACTCCCAATTCTACCATTGGTTATATCCAGACAGGAGAGAATTAGGATCTCAGGAAAACTGTATTATTGTTTGGGGGCTCTAACACTAGATTAGAACTCTTCAGTGTTCACTGTGGGCACTTTGGTTTCTGATCTCAGTAAGAAAGCTCTATAAAAAGGCAAAGAATGTATCATAGAAACATTTGCAATTTATGTATGAAACTTCCAAACGTGATATACGCGAAATTCTACAAGCAGAAAAGAAATTGGGTAACTTTCCGGAGGTGTAGTCCATTTGAACAGCGTTCAAGAAATACTGCTAACTATACCAATATTGTTTTTACCATGAATTTAAATTGTTCAAATCTATGTTTCTAAATAAATATGGCAAAAAGAGTTAATAATAATAATGGCAAAGATTTTTCAAGGGGTTACCTTGCATCAGGTATTTGTCTAGGCTGTGTAGGTTATATTGGTTTAATCATGAAAATAACCTCATGAGGTCAGTGCTGTTATTTCATTTGACAAATGTGGAAACTGAGGCTCAGAAAAATTAAATGATTTGGCCAGTCACTTAATTTGTAGGTAGCAGAACTGGAATTCCAACCTAGAATTACTTCATCACCTGTACATTTAACTATTATGCCATATTATTTCCTGAAAGGTAAGCTAGATGTCAACTCTCTGTTGCATAATTGATATTCGCTGCATAATTTATGAAGTCAGTGCTAGGCAGAGTGCTAGAGCTATAGCACTGAACCCAACAGCTGTGGTCTCCACCCTCACTGTGCCTGGCACATGATAAGTGTGATGTGGGTATTTGTTAAATGAAATGAATAGAGAAAATGTAATATGATCCTAAGCAGAAAAAAAATAGTTATAAGTTTATAAAGTACTGACAGAAATTAAAAAGGAAAATGCTATACATCCTGGATTGAGAACTAAGTAGTTGAGTTTACTATAGCTTATATTCATTTGGTGGAAAAAGCAGTTTATATGCCTTAGAAATCTTACCTCTTGAATGCATTAAAAAATATATCCTTGACCCAGGCTTACTTGACAACTCAAATTTACATGAAATGAAAGTGGCGACACCTCTTTCAAACCATGAAAAGTATCCACTAGAAAGACACACACCCGCACGTATATAAATGTATAGTCATATAAAGATATTAAATTATTCACTCTTCTTCTATTTAATAATAAAACACATTGTTTATCTTATAAAACCTACAAAGAGACAGATATATAAATATTTATCACTAAATATTTATCACTATTTAAATGAGGTAATTACAATATTTTCTTAAATTTGAGTAGCAAATGATCATTGTAAATGGGTTGATAAAGATATTAGGAGAGAGATGGTAAAGTTTTTCTCTTTTAGATATTAAAATATCAATAATCTTGATGTTATATGCCTGAATGTGATTATTTGAGAGCTGATTTTGATCTAGAGTGGGGTTTTTTTATTTTACATATTATACAGATTTTCTGAGTCAGTATTCTAGTCAAAGATACAATCATTTCAGAATGAGAAACAACACATTTTGTTAGAAAATATTTTGCAAGCTATATATATATATATATATATAGTACAAAATAATAGTAAAACTAGAAATTGCATTGTTTTCAACTTACTGAATTCCTACTTCTAAACTAAGAAAATAGATGAATTATAATATTTCCTTTAAAGTTATAGGACTGTTTATGCATAACACATCTCTTAATTGTAAACTGAAGAATAGACTCTTCGTGGTCTATACCTTCTTGCTCATAATCAGAAATGTCTGCTAGAGAAGACCCAGTTCCTTCTACCACTTGGAGCTATTACTAAGGATCATTTGTGACTCTTTATTTTCAGGATTTTATGCCAATGCTATGCCAAAATCATACCATTTCTTCTTTCTCTGTGTGTGATTTTCTGAGAACATTTCCCCATTCATATCCAGGAAGTACTCTCCGAGTATCCTGAAAGGTAGGTGAAATAGGTATTTGGAAATATGTATAGAAATTATTGGAATTCAAAGTCTTTAGATAAAATGCCTTTTTATTGGTGGTTTAAAAGTTATTTATTTGTCATTATAAATATTAAAAGTTTATATGTATCATTATACTACAAATATGATGTTAAATAGGGTTTTTTTACAGTTATATTAAAAGCATTAAGTTCTTGGCACTCTACAAAACATAAAAAAGAAATGGTCATAATGTATAACATATAATGATTAGGAGTCTGTGTCTGGAAAGAAAAATTTTCCCACAAAATAACTATTACACAGAAATATTCAAACTACTAACTTTTAAAAATAACCAGCTATTTGATTGAATGAAACTTTTTTACATTAAAAAAGGAAAGAACCTGCATATAAATGTCTTGAGTTATTAGCATGTTAAGATTTGGATGATCGTGTCATGAAATAGGGTTAATTCTCATAATAGAATTTATTTGGTATAAAAGTTGCCTGTGATCTTCACTTTTGTCACTTTTCTCTTTAGTGCCACCTTGTGGGTTAGCCAGTAACAATAAATATAGTATAAGGTTTTGAGGTTTGGGCTTTATTTTTTGTTTTCTTTTCCTCTGCTGCATTAAAACTAGTCTTAGAAAATAGTCTGGTAAAACTCATATGTGAAGCAATTTCTTTGTTTTCTCAGGGAAGCAACCACTTCACTAAAAGATATTTGCCATAATTCTGCAATTGGACATTCCGGACACCAGAACAGTTTCCCAGAGATTGGAAATATTGGAGTCTACACAAAAATCGATGTTCATTTACAGGGTAATCACCAAACTTGTCTTGGATAACATAAGTGACAAGCTCTGACTTATTATTTTTCCATAAGAAAAATGTTTTCTTAAGTCAGTATCATTTCTACAACAGTGCCCCATGAGAATTGATTGTAGGTGATTTGAAACGCTGCTTAATCCTATTTTAGAAAACACTTTTGTATCTGATTTAGTCTTATGTGCAGCTTCCTTCTCACATCAGATTGAATTTACATTGAGTTACCTTAGTTTATTTTAATTATGCTGCAGTTATAAAGGAATGAGGAAAACTCAGTACAGTATGTTGAAACATCTCTTATTGAAGACACATGGGAAATGTGTTATACATTCCCTAATATTCTCCATATATTAGAGGTGCTATAATAATCTTTTAAATAGCCAAACAACAAAAAAAAGAATAGTTTCTCCTCTTAGAAACACCTAAGTATGTTAGAATTTATTGCTAAGCATTTTTGTGGTATAATGGAGAAGTAAATCTTGAAATGCCTTTATGGAGTTATTTCAGAGCAAGTGAAAACCACGTATAATCTGGTCTTTTTAAGAGTGTATGTAAATGTCCATATCTGAACTCCTTCTGCCCTTTTAGGAGTTGGAGGTTGTACCATGTGTTATGCAAAAAGTAATTTTCCCTGGATGTGCAATAAGGCCTCAGATTTAACCTATAACCTGAATGTCATCAGCTATCAGTTATCTATGCTGGAAGCACACAAACAACAAAAAGCATTCTGAGTATTCTTATGGGCTTGCAAAAATCTTACTGTAGAACCAAAGCAGCCAAATACTAACAGCAAGGCTGTAAAAACCTTAGAATGTAACTCTCTAATCATTTCTAACGTGCACAAGTCTTATGCTTTTTCTCCGAAAGTAGTATATTGTGCTTTCCAATTCAAAAAATGAGTTTTAGCTGTTAATTTTGAACCCTTTGAGATTTTAATTTGTCCATGACATTCTGACACATACATGTTTTCCTATGGATTTGGTACCAGAGCAAATTAAAAGGTGCCTTAGGAAGTCCTCCGTTTAGCCTTTGCCTGGTTGACCTTAGCATCCTTGTTGTTAGAATTTAACCACCCGCCCCTCCCTCAAAAAAAAAAATTAGGGAAAGGACTTTCTTATCTGGGATTGTGAACCATTATGACGATTTTTCTGATCACGCTTCAACTTCAGCTTTACTAATAAAGGTGTGTTTTCCTTCGGTTGAAGCTGCATAGAGCTTAATAAATAAGCTGCTGTGTATTGCCATCCAAAAGATTTCTGGGACATGCTGTGCTGTTGTTGGCAGTGTAGGGGTTTTACTGTATTAGAGTAAGTGGTACTTTCCCCAACCACACAGCTTAACTCCAGGTATTTTGCCTCTCCTCATTTTGATAATATTCATGTTAAATATATGGGGTTTTTAAACTTTGAAAGCAGCAGAATACATTTTATATCTACTCTGTTACAAATTAAGCAGATCCTAATTAAGTGGGTCACATTATATACCAACAACCTTTCACTTTAATGTCAAAAGGCTTTTATGATCTCTATTCAGTGCCTATTAAAGTGAGACTGAGCAAAATATTTTCTTGATATTTCTGAGAATTTCAGTTTTAGTTTCAAAGGATCATTCATTCCTTTAATCTTCCAATATGGAAAAGTAATGAGTATTGACTCGTTCTTTAGAGGCGCTAACATTCAACTAGGTAAACTTAGTAAGTGATAGCAATTAATGTTCTCTTTTGTCTTCTAGACAGAAAATCAAAGCTATTTAAAGTAAGGATGTGTTTAAAATCAATGTATGTCCACAAGTTAACATTAATGTTTACAGATACTTTCTGTGACCATTATGTCTTATTTGGGTATGTTTGTGTCCTTATTTTCTATACTTGTATATAAAGATATAGAGATAAATATAAATAGATGAGAGAGGTGTATACAGGGTGGGGCAAAAGTAAGGTTATATTTGTGAGTACCCAAAACACAGAGTTTATTCTAGCATTATTATTTATTAATTATTGTATTATTTTCCATACACACACTTTATGTTTCTGTATGGTCTAAATAAAAGTGTTTTATTTATCACTAGGCTAACCTGCTGGGTCATAAAGTACACACTTAGTTCTCTGTGCCATTCCTCCATATTCAGTGCTTGCCACAATAGTCATTAAATTGCCGATGTGATAATCATTCCAATATATCATTCTAAAACCATGATCATAGAATGATTTCTTTGTTTCTATGAGACTTACCTGTAGTAATTCTCTGTTTAATGTTCAGAATTCTATAGAGGTTTTCCTTTAAATGTTCAGAGCAGGAGCTATACCTTCTAGGATGTGCAAATAATCAAGTCTTAGCCACATTATCCTATCTAATAAAGAGGGAATATGCTAACTGACCTTCATGCCATCGCAAAGAAGACGGTGCCCACAGCCAATAAGGAGGGAATATGCTAATTGACTGCACCGCCCTCAAAAATGGCAGCACCTACAGCCACAAGATGGTAGCACCCAGTCCCCTCAGCCCCCAGGCGGCCCGGCCGCTCCATGTGCCTGCCTCCGGAGCCCCCCAGTCAACCTCAGCCCCCCAACTGCCCAGGGCTGGCCCAAGGCATAAGCAAGCCTTGGATGGAAGCTGCCTAGGGCTGGTTACCGAGGCTCAGGTAACCAGGGCCTGCCAAGGTTTGTGCTGCCGGCAGTGGCAGCAGCAGAGGTGTGATGGAGGCATTGCCTTTCCCTGATTGCCAAGTCACCTCCTGCTCCTGAGGGCTCCCGGACTGTGAGAGGGGACTGGCCGGGCTGAGTGACTCCCCCTCCGGTGCATGAATTTTCATGCACTGGGCCTCTAGTAAAATATAATCCACATTATGAATGAACAGAATGAGCCCTCAGATCTGATTGCCTAAGGCTCAAAATACTAATACTCCTGACACACCTTGCATGTATTAACTACCTGGAACTGCATTAAATTAAGAGAATCCATTGGGATCTTGACCTCGGCCTCACTTCCCCAGCTTTCCTGCTCCTGCCCACCTGCAAGGGGAGCTTCTGCTCTGCAGACTGAGGGCTGCCTCTGCGCTTCACCTCCTGCTGTTTCCGCAAAGCCAACAGGATGGGGCCCAAGGAGTTTTATCTTCTAGAGTTCCTTTGTGAAGTGACTTAATTAAATTTTTCCCAAAGTGCAATATTCTCCAGTTCTTTCTCAGGAGGACAAATTGACGAGACACAGAAACAGGTCTAAATGAAGTGAATTTTTTTTAATGAATTCAAATAACATCATGAAAAAGCACTTTGAATTTTTCAATTCCCAGGCAATTGGTTCTACAAAGAAAACCTTTCTAAATGATCCACATGCTTTCATTTATTAGTCTAGAGTTCTTGCTCAAGGAATTATTTGCATTGGTAATATATAGAACATCATGGTGATTTACTTGCTTTTCTAATATCTTTGCCCACAGACTCTTTAGAACTGAAAAGTGAAGTGACTATCAGAGAAAGCTCAGTAATAAAAAATAAAGTATCTAAAAGCAAAGGGGAAAGAGCTGAATCCCATTTTTAAAAATCAAATTTTGCAAAAAGGAAATGTCACAGACATCTTGCTTATCTGTTAATAACCACTTAAGAAAAAACGGTAATTTCTTCCCAATCATCAAATTAGGTTTCTGCCAATCTCATGATCTCCTGGAGGGAAGTGTCTTATGAAATTAGCAATCTCCTGGAGAGAAGTGTCTTTGAGAAGTCCAGACAACTTTAAACAAAACTGAATAGCCTTCATTTACCCCATAACCATTCAGGAAATAATATAGATAATGAAACAGTAAACAAAATAGTGAGTGAACAGTGCTTTAACTAAAAGATAATTTTTCACATGCTTTAAAATTTAGTCCAGTACCATCAAGATTAAGAAAAATACAGCCACTAGGCACTGTGGTTTTTGTCTCAGAAAATCATTATCTACTTCCTTGGTACTTCTATAACAACTGAAGAATAGGAAAAAATATCCTAGGTAGGTCTAAAATTCTTTTTAAATTGTGCCTTTCAAATATATAAAATATTGTGTGATGATGATGATGATGATGGTGGTGATAAAAACAAAGCAACTAAGCAGCACTATTTGTGGCATTATGAAAACCATTGCCAATATCTTCATTTCCCTTGAGATCTCTAAAGTCAGGAGTATTGCAGCCTGGACTGCATACCATATTTATCAGTCATTTCCCATCATGCAGTGTTCACGCCTAGCTGGTATGATGCCATTGTTTAATTTCATATAGTAGTCCTCTCAATGAGCCATACCTCTGTGCTGATGAGGATCCTGAATCTCTTTTCTCCTGGCCCAGGATCTGCCTCACCAAAGGACTATAGCTGTCCTTAGATATTCTGGCACCACAAGGAGGGGCCTGCAATGTGCTCCCCAACTTACATCGATCTCTTTTTGTCACGGCCACTAAGATAAGGATTGTATCTCAAGGCTTCTTTTCTGAAACATGTCCCAAGATTATTCATCCTTGTTATTTATTTACTAGTGGCCCGGTGCACGAACTTCATGCACATCAAAAGGGAATTAAGTAGATCCGCTCCAGGACTGCTCAAGCCTTGCCATGGCAGTTAGGGCATGGCCCCCCTGTCTGTGTCTGCTCCAGGCAAGCCCCCCCACCTTTGTCCCTGCCCAAGTCCCCGCTCCTGTCCCTGCCCACCAACTCCTGTGCACGCACAGCCCGTTGACCGGTCGTGATTGGGACACTGTTAGGACCAGTTAGCATATTACCTCTTTATATATAGATAGATGTATTCATTCATTTATTGAGCAAATATTTATTAAGAAACAACTGTGTGCAAGATACTCTTCTTGGTATAGTGAACAAATGGGTTAAATTCCCACCCTCATGGAGCTTCCATTCTAGTGGGGATACAGGCAATAAAATTTTTTAAGTAAAATAAATGGGGCTAAAAGAAGGGATATAGAGTGTAACTGACAAATTACAATCTGTTGTGAGTCCTAAAGTAATTCTTCTGG